CTTCAAAGAATTGCCAGGACTTGTTAAACTTGGAAGAAGATGGCCATGGGCGATCCTGAGTGAGATAAGGACCTTTTATGTTGTACTTATTACTACAAATGATGATATTTTCTTTGCTGGCGAGAGGGTGATCCATTGTGGGGACAAATTTTCTAGCTACAAATATATTTTGAAAGATAATGCCAAGTTTGAATTGTAGTGGACACCCGGCTTCGTAATATTTACCGTTCTTCAAGTTCTTGATTCAAACTCACACGCTTTCTCCATTATGTGGACAAAATCAAGAATGCGTGAACCACAGAACAAAGCAAACAACACATTCATTACATTGTGACGAGAGTACAAACGAATCACAATCCAGACATAAACAAAAAAAAAAAAAAAATGAAAGCAAGACGATCCAGTCAAACAGAATTTAATCACTAAAAGGATGACACTTCTTCCCTACTGCCCTAGCAGTTCTTCATTAGGATAATTTTAAAGCCAACCACCTGTCTGACATCCCCTGATCATCATCCTCCTGAAAAGAATTGCATGTGTATGCATTCATGAATGATACATTCATTGCTCATTTATCTAAGAGGTCGACGGCCTAAATGTCTACAATCATGCAGTTGCAGGGTGGCAAATAAATGCCTTTGAAATCCAAATTTTCTTTCTCCTTTGAGTCGGCAACATAACATAGCCACGGTATCTTGGCATGGCCATAAGCCTCGGTGGGCCTCAGCCAAGTGTTTAGATTCTACAATTTGTTAGCGGCGCCTTAATGGGTCTGTAACTTCTTGCTGAGTTCCAAAAAAAAAAAAAAAAAACCACCAGCTCAAGTAATCGGGTGAATACTCTCAAGATTGTAAAAAGTGGGCCTAGGTGCTACCTAAATTCTAAGTAGTGTCATTCCACTGTATCAATTTTTAATTAAAAATTCAATGCGATTTGTATTATCTAGGTCAATTAAGCATACTTAGGCACTAGTAGGCATGCTTAGTGGTCCCAAAAGCGCTTGAGCAAATTATTATTATTTTTTTATTTAATAAAATGACGTCATTTAATTTATTATAAAAATTATATTAAAAAAATTAAATGTCAAGTAATTCTCCTAAAATATACTTTTTAGACATGATAATGAATAGAAAAGTATTTATTTTTTTGTTTATTGTGTAATTTTTAAAATTGTTTTACATTTTTTTTATTTTTTAGAATTATATAAAAAAATTATTAAAAAA